ATTTAGATTGACTAACGCTCCGACAACATTTATGGACTTAATAAACAGAGTATTCCAACCTTAATTGGATCAATTTTTTGTGGTATTTATAGATGATATATTAGTGTACTCCAACTCAAGAGAGGAACATGATGCTCATCTTCGTGTGGTTCTTCAATTATTGCATGAAAAGAAGTTGTACGCAAAATTGTCTAAATGTGAATTTTGGTTTGTAAAGATTGCTTTCCTTGGTCATATAGTCTCTTCAGAAGGCATAAGTGTAGATCCCAAAAAAATTCAAGCCATAGTAGATTGGTAATCCCCAAAAAATATTACGGAAGTTCATAGTTTCTTAGGGCTTTCTTGTTATTATAGGAGATTCGTGAAGAACTTCTCAATGTTAGCTCTGCCACTAACAAAGTTGTTACGAAAGGATGTGCCTTTTTTTTGAACGGATAAATGCCAAGAAAGTTTTGAAATGCTAAAGAAAATAGTAACTGAGGCCCCAGTGCTTGTGCAACCGGAGTCAGGTAAAGATTATGTCGTTTTTAGTGATGCATCCCATAATGGGCTCGGATGTGTAATGATGCAAGAACGGAAAGTGGTGGCTTATACCTCAGGATAACTAAAGAATCATGAGAGAAATTACCCAACGGATGACTTAGAATTGGTCGCAGTAGTGTTTGCTTTGAAAATTTGGCGCCATTATCTATATGGTGAGCATTGCCATATTTACACGGATCATAAAAGTCTAAATATTTACCGACTCATAAAGATATGAATTTGAGACAGAGAAGATGGATTAAGCTCTTAAAAGATTATGACTTGGTTATTGACTATCATCCAGGAAATGCTAATGTGGTAGCCGATGCGCTCAATCGAAAGACTTTTGCAGCTTTAAGGGCTTTAGATGCATGTATGTCTCTAAAGGAATATGGTACTTTGATTGCTGAGTTAAATTTAAAGCTGATGCTTTTGGATCAGGTAAAAGAGTTGCAAGGTCGAGATAAGAAATGTTTGATGGGATTGGTGCAAGTCGTAAAAGAAGAGGCCAAAGACTTTGAAATGAGAGACAATGGATGTTTATATTACCGTGGAAGACTCTAAAATCCCGATATTGATGAATTGAAGAAAGATATTCTTTGTGAGGCACATTATAGCCCTTTGACGATGCATCCAGGAAGGAATAAGATGTGTCAGGACTTGAAAAGTTGTTATTGGTGGTTTGGTATAAAAAGAGTTGTATCGGAATTTGTTGTAAAATGTTTGACATGTCAGCAAGTGAAAGCTGAACATCAAGTGTCTTCCAGATTTCTACAACCGATAACCATTCATGAGTGGAAGTTGGAGTGAGTTACTATGGACTTTGTTTCAGGGCTACCTTTGTCACCAGGTAAAAAGAACTCGATAAGGGTAATAGTGGACAGATTGACCAAGACGGCTCATTTTATCCCGGTTCGAGTATATTACTCGATGGATAAGTTTGCAGAGTTCTATATAAAAGATATAGTTAGACTACATGGAGTGTCTATTGATATATCAGATCGAGACCCAAGGTTTACTTCAAGATTCTGGAAGTCTTTACATGAGTCATTGGGTACTCGATTGAACTTCAGTACAACTTTTCATCCGCAAACAGATGGGCAGTCAGAGCGAGCTATTTAGATACTATAGGATATGCTGAGGGCATGTGTGATTGAATTTAAAGGATCATGAGAAAAATATTTGTCTTTAGTGGAATTTGTGTATAACAATAGTTACCAATCAAGTATTAATATGGCATGAAGCTTTGTATGTGAGGAAGTACAGAACACCATTAAACTGGTTTGAACTAAAAGATAGAGATCTATTTGGCCTGGATTTGATTAAAGAAATGGAGGAAAAAATGAAAATTATCCAGAGTAATTTAAAGATAGCCTCCGATAGCCAGAATTCTTATGCGTATTTAAAAAGAAAGGAAATCGAATTTCAAGTGGGGGATAAAGTATTTCTGAAGGTATCACATTGGAAAAAGGTATTACGTTTTGGGAGAAAAGGAAAACTGAGTCTGAGATTCATTTGACCTTATGAAATCTTAAAAAGGGTTGGAACCGTAGCTTATCAATTAGCTTTGCCTCCGGATATAGACAAGATCCACAGTGTTTTACATGTATCGATGCTTAGAAGGTACAGATCTCATCCATCCCATGCATCACGCCTGAAGATATAGAAATACGACCAGATTTAACTTATGAGGAAGAACCATTGCAGATCTTAGCTAAGGAAATGCGTAACAAAAGGATTCCATTAGTTAAAGTGCTTTGGAAGAATCATAGAGTAGAAGAAGCTACTTGGGAAATAGATGAGAACATGAGGAAGCAGTTTCCACACTTCTTCGTTTCAGGTACTTCTTTAAATTCGAGGATGAATTTTCTTAAGGGGAGAATTGTAATGCCCTAAATATATAATCAGGGACTTTATTGAAAAGATTTAAAAATTTGAGGATTTATTCGATTAAAGGATAAAAGATGAGAATGATTTGGATTAATGGTTTAGATTAAATTGTAGCAATAGATGATTAAGAGGGCATTTTGGTCCTTTAAGGAGAAAATGCATTTAAAATTCATTTTAATAAGGTATTAAAGAAAAGGGGAAAGGGAAAAATAAATTATCAAAAGACATTTCTTTTTTCTTCTTCTTTCCCGTGGAAAAAGCTCTCATCCATAGCATAGGTAAAATTTTAATTGGTTAGTGTTTCCTTTCGATTCTGGTTGGTTCTTGCAAACTTAAGTGATATGTAAGCTTAAGGAAAGGTTATATAAGATCAAAACTTTAAGATAGAGGAAATATTGGAGATTTAAGAAATGGATTTTGAAATGATATGTTAAGATATGAGTGTTTATTGATGTTTACTAGTAGTTTTTACTTGTCAAAGAGGTAAACGAGAGATTATAAGCATTGGATGAGTTTAAAAACAAGTTAGAAAATGTGGTGTGATTCTTAGATTCAAATGATCTTGAGAGATTTTAGATGTTTAAGAAGCTAAATGAAGGAAAGTTAGTAGGGATAAGTAAAGAAGAGTTAAATAGTATTGTTGGGGGTAAACATAAGGAAATTTGACCAAATTTGGGTATGTTTCGGGCTGAAAAATGGAAAATCTGGGTAATGGTATCGGTACTGATAGAACAATACAAAAACTATAGGTTAAAATGGGAAGAATCAGCTAGAAGTATCGATACTGATGCAAGCAGTATCGTACCGAAGGGGGGTATCGATACTATGAGGAAGGTATCGATACCATCGATAACATAATGCAAAAATGGTATCGATACTGTAATACAGTATCAGTATCATAGTATAGTAGTATTGATACCATGGTAGGGGTATCGATACTATGGAGCCTGAAATTTTAAGATAGGCTGATATTGTTATAGAAAAGTTAATTATAGGTACGCTTAAGTAATGTTTCAGTATAATTGTTAGGAAATATACTAACAATTGATATTGTACATGTATTTAATGGATGTTGAATAGATCAAAATCTAGCTCTCGAGTCAAGCAAAGGAAAAGGCAAAGGCCAAGTACCAGAGTAATCAGCTTTGCGTTTTGGATACAAAAGCGAGGCAAGCCAGGTGAGTGCATTTATTTTGTACTTATATGTACAATAGTCATAGATGTATGATTGATTGATATATGTATGGTGATTACAGAATGACACTATTGTGTGCAAAAAGTTAAGAAATTCATAATAAGTTTATGAATTTTTGTATGGACACTTTGTGTGCAAAAGGTAAAGAAATTCATAATAAGTTTATGAAATGTAAGATGATGAAATGTTTGAACAATACTTTTTGTTTATGTACTTAAGTTTAATGCATGTTTTATATTTTTTAAAATGTTTTATAAAAGGAAAAAAAAATTTACGGGTTTATAAAGGAAGAACTGTTTTAATAGTGATGTGACATCTATATCTCGTGTGCGGAAAGGTATACGGGAGAATGGTGTTACACTATAATCGAGGGACCATTTGTATACTTTACCCTTTTGTTTTTTGTTATACAATATCTCAAACTTAATTACAAGATTTTAACGTGATTTAATTGCATAAAAATCCTGTTAGAAATTAACCTAAATTTAAATTTGTTAGACATAAAGGAATATAATATGATTATATTGTTACATATTACTGAATAATTAAATTTATCGGTGAAGTACATGTTCTTAACATGCAACAAAGATTTTATTGATAAGGTTTATTAAGGATCAAGTAAATGATATATATAGTCTCTATATGCAAGTATGGACCCAAGGAGCATGTCATACAGTTTTCCTTAAAAATTTTAAATTCTCATATAATTTTGATATTTTTTTTTTTGTATTTTCTATTGTTAATATGTTTTCACCTTCCTAAAATTTTATAAGTTCACTCTCCTAATATAAACCTTTGCATACGCCCTTACGAATGTGTCAAAGTTGGGTTTTTTTTCTTTCCAAAAAAGCAAATAGAAAAGAATTATAACATGAGAACCTAAGTTAATCCAGTTTCTTAAGAATTTAAAGTCTGTGCTAGAAGGTTTCAAGTAGAGAGACGTCTTGTTTGATGTATGGAAAGGCCAAAACAAAGAGGGAATGAGGGGACCACTCTTGACTCTCAGAATCAAATTGCATAAACCTGCAGAGGTTAATGTTTTAACTCCCAGCTGCTCAAGTTATGGGGCAGTTTCAGCTTCCCATGTGATGAGTCCCAGAAATTAAATCCATTTTACAGTTGAGTCTCCTGATTGCTGACAGCTCCATTCCATCCCTCGCCAAGAGGGAAAAAAAGTGTTTCATATGCTTAAACATAAATAATCAATATATATATATTGACAAATACAAGATATTCATCCAAATTCTAATGAAAATTAATAGACATTCTGGGAAAAACATTGGTGAAACTTGTGATGCAAGCATCTCTCAGTCACTATAGAACAATCCTAAGTAACAAGACGATAAAATATGTTTGGGACTTGAATCTGTGATTCACGCTACCTAAGAAGAATAAAGCCATTTACAATACAATTTTCATCAAGTCTATTAACAACCATCAATATAATACCATCAGTAAAATAGCAACCAAAGAATAGTAATAGCTTTCCCAAAATTATCTTCCTTTTTTGCCATAACTGCGTTGCAGTTTCCAAGACCAAATGAGAATGAACGAAACGAGAGCCACTCCGATAGACAGCCAGAATATTACCAACCATTTTGGCATCGCCTTTGGATATAAGCCTGACGGAACGGGATATGAATATCATTTAATCATTAGCTTAAAGAACTTACAAAACAATTAAGATAATTCCCAGAGACTTTGCTGTGTTGGATTTTGAAGCATACCATGTCCAAACTTGATGTCAATGAGAAGCTCAACAATGCAAATTGCTAGGGAAAGCCAACAAAATGCTCCAACCTTTTTCGCTGGTTTTCTGAAATAATAATTAAATAAATAACTGAACAATAAAATTATTCATTGAGTTATCAACATTTGCCTCCAAATCAAATGGAGAAACGGTACCGGTCTTGGAGGTAGGAGTTGTACTCGCGAATTGTTGGTATTGCTATTAGCCGCCACAAGATCAACCTATACACAATCACAGGATTTCGAGGAGGAATCCACAAACAAAACTTCAGAAAGAATGTATTAAGTTCTACCATCAGAAACACGATGCAAAGGCTGAGAACTTGAATAAATCGCATTGGACCAAGCAATGGGTGCCATTCATCTTTGTCCCACTGTGCTGGTGTGAATTGTCCTAAAGTTCGCTTAACCTGTAAACAGCGAAGAGCATATTTATAAGGAAAATATGAGAAGGATAAGGTATTAGAAAAGACATTTATAAGGGAGAAAAGGGACCATATTTCCACGTCCAAACAGACTAAGGTTTAAAGATTGCAGTAATTTTCACTTTTGAGTAAAAACACATTAAGTAACATACTTTGCCCATGATGTTCGGCTGGCGACTTATACCAACCCACTCGTATGTTTTCCCATCAACGTACCTAACAGTATGCATTCCAGACCATATACCTACAGCAAAGAAAATAAGCTGTCAAGATATGTAGAAGAATCATCATCGCATTATTTCCAAACTAGAAAATAATAAAACAAAAAGTGAAACAACACAGATTTAGCACTTGAGATCACAATAATACAGAAAAGCAGACAACTACTATCACATGAAGGTCTACAAAAGTGTTCCCGCTCCCACGTTTATACTACTATTATATTGAAGCAACAAGTGTTTGATATCACAAGTTATGTTGCCCAAACTGGACACTAAAATTAGATAAAAATCTAACCAAACAAAAATTAACGTATTGAAAATAAGAGTCATGTTGTCATTTGCCTCCCAAAGGTATTACTATGATTGGGACACAGTGTTTTCTTGTTCAGTAAAAACTATCTTTTTCATAGGAAAAGAGCAACGCCGTTTCACTTTCACAAACGTGGTTAGCATGCATCGGTTCTACTATTCTAGTAATTAGCTGATACATATTAACCTCATGACCCCTTGTATGGATTTTTCATGGAAGCAACTACGAATTGCATGCAATATCAGCAGAACCAGAAATACGAAATAGGATAGCAAAAAAATTCTTCATCATATAACTAAAAACAATCAAGACTAAATAATGTGGCTGGAAACTCCAGAACCATCTGAATTCGATGAACAACCAAAGCAGAAAATTTGATCTCTACCAAGAAATTATTCTATTTTACCATACCACGAATATACTTTCTAAACAGACATTTGAATATAACATGAAACTCAAAATAGAGTATTCCCGAAACCAAGTCGGTCAGCTAAAATGTATTATTCAGTTGCTTGCGTGCACTTACGTGTTACAAAAGCAGACAATTCTGTAAGATACAGCCTACAACACAAAGATTAATGAAAGAAATAACAAATACGAAGGGAAGCAAAAATAGCAATGTGGGATCTTACCAAACCAATTGTACGTCAAAATATCAAGAATAATGCTGTCCCACCAGCACTCATTGAAGTTCGGTAGCATGTATCGGAAGGTAAGCTGTATATGCCACCATCATAATAGTTGGTTAATTGATGGAAAACAGAAAGCAAGGACATGCAAGACTTACCGATTACTATAATACATCTAAATGTGAAATGAAAAAAGTTGGAAAAACAATGTGTCCATTTAGAAAATTAACCTCCATCAACTCAAATCCAATTGAGAGAAGCCAAAGAAGTGGCTGATTGCGGATTAAAATGGCCTTGCCCCACCAACCAAAGATGTGGGCTAATACAAATTCATCTAATAGCGTTTCCTATAAATAATTTTATCATATATATATATATATATATATATATATATAATAATTTGCATCAAGAAACACAGGTTCAATTTGCAACTAAAATAAATTAATACATAAAGAAAAAAGAGATGAACAAAGTAGAATAAAATACAGAAGTCAGGTTGTGCAAGAAGATCCATACATAAACATTCTTAAACCTGCTTGAGGGATTTTCAGGAATATATATGCGACAATCTGCACCATAGGATCTTTCCGGAAGTTCTGAATAAAGATTGCAAACAAAATCAACAAGCTTCAAAATAAGTAGTAAAAGCAGAACAAGTATGAAGCTAGAAGACTTTCAAGAGCAATACGAACACCAAGGTCGGGATGGAGAATCTGTTGCGGAAGACGACTATCGGATAGAGCAAAATCGCAACTGATAATTTGAGAAAATAAAAATGAAGATAAAAGAGACACAAAATTTACGTGGAAAACCCCTAAAATATTTAGGGTAAAAACCACGGGCAACGGTAGAAGAATTTCACTATGAGAAAATAGGAATTACAACCTCTCTCGATCTACCAAGGAGAAAACAATGATAATTCTCTCTAGATAAAAAGAGAAAACAACTCTCAAGAAACTCTCTAAAATCTCTCTAGTATTGGAAGAAAGCTAGAATGCTTTGGGATGATTTTGAAGCTAAATGAGCTAGGGTATTTATAATTAAAACATAAGGACTAATTTATAAATACCCTAAAGTTTAGTGACTAAATTGAATTATCTCATTTAATATTTAAACAAAAATTTCCATCCCCCTTTTTTGACTAAAATATGCCGGTGGATTATTTTAATTCACCTTTCGGTGGATTTGCTTATTTTTCAACAATCTCCCACTTGAAGATTTGATTGGAACAATCATATCTTCACACCATTCTTTCTACCTTGTACCTTCATGTTACTTATGTCTCTAACAGACCACAGGAGGATCGACACCAAGTAAATTTATCAGTTTTGATCGCCTTCGTCATGAAATCTGCTATGTTGTCTTTAGTATGGATCTTCTGCATATCTACTGTCCCTTCTTCCACCTTTTCACGAATGAAATGGTACTGAACTCGTATGTGCTTTGTCCTTGAATGAAATGCTGGATTCCTTGCTAGATGCAAGGCGCTTTGACTGTCACAAAACAGAGAGACATACTCTTGATTGTGCCCAAGCTCCTCCAATAGCATCTTTAACCAAATTGCTTCTTTACTGGCTTGTGTAGCTGCTACATATTCTGCCTTTGTTGTGGACGTAGCCACAACTGACTGCAATTTTGAAACCCAGCTTACAGCTCCACCAGCAACTTTGAACACATATCCTGTAGTAGATTTGCTTTTATCCAAATCCCTAGCATAGTCAGAATCTACATACCCATTGATTAGTAAGTTTGATCCTCCGTAACATAATGCAATATTTGAGGTCCCTTTGATGTATCTTAGGATCCTCTTTACTGTATTCCAATGCTCTTTGCCTGGATTCGCCATGTACCGACTAATCACTCCCACTGCTTGTGCAATGTCTGGTCTTGTGCATATCATAGCGAACATTAAACTTCCCACTGTTGATGCATACGGTACTCGAGACATCTCCATCCTCTCTTCTTCACTGCTAGGACTCATACTGGAGGATAATTTGAAGTTAATAGGAAGAGGGTTAGAAATTGGCTTACAATCTTGCATGTTGAATCGTGACAAGATCTTCCTCAAGTAATTCTTTTGTGAAAGCCAAATCTTCCTATTACTTCTGTCTCGGTGAATTTGCATCCCTAGAATCTTGTTTGCTGATCCCAAGTCCTTCATTTCAAATTCCCTAGCAGTTGTGCCTTTAATTCTTCAATATGATCTTTGTTGGGTCCTGCAACCAACATGTCATCCACATACAACAATATAACAAAATTGTTATCATCAGACCTCTTGAAATAAGCACAAGGGTCTGCATTAAGTCTGTTGTATCCAAGGCACATAATGAAGGAATCAAATCTCTTATACCAATACCTCGGCACCTGCTTTAGACCGTACAGAGATTTGTTCAACCTGCAAACCAAGTTCTTCTTTTCTTTTTCTTCAAAACCTTCATGCTGGAGCATGTAAATCTCTTCTTCAAGATTTCCATGAAGAAAAGCTGTTTTAACATCTAGTTGCTCTAGATGTAAGTTCAATGTAGCACACATTGCCAAAACTACTCGAACTGTTGTTAGTCGAACCACAGGAGAAAATATTTCATTGAAATCGATACCTTCTTTCTGAGCATATCCTTTGACCACCAGTCTTGCACGATACCTCTCCACTTGATCGTCACCATTTTGCTTGATTTTGAAGACCCATTTGTTACCAATTGGCTTCCTTCCTTGTGGTAGTGGCACAAGGTCCCATGTATTATTTTTATGAAGGGCTTCGATTTCTTCTTGCATCGCCATCATCCATAGTGAAGCATCTGAGTTGTTTATTGCCTCCTGGTATGTTGATGGCTCACCGTCCTCTGTTAAAAGACAGTATGCAATATTACCTTCTATAACATAATCTGAGTGCCAATTGGGACGTCTTCTCATACGGTCTGATTGACGAGTTGTTGGAGCTTCAGAACTCTCTGGTTCTTGTTCATCATGTGCTAGTTCTGCTTCAGAAGAATCTCCTTGTTCAACCTCCTTTTCCACATGTATCTGCGTAGTCTCTGACTTTTCAGCGCTACCATCTCTTCTTTTCTTTTTAGCTTATCTTCTACAAAGATAACATCTCTGCTGATGATCACTTTGCGGGCAGTGGGATCCCATAAGCGATACCCCTTTACACCATCAGCATACCCCAAGAATTTGCATTTCCTGGATTTTGGATCGAGCTTTGAAATTTCTTGGGAGTTGTACATAACGTACACAATATTTCCAAATACATGGAGGTTTGAATAATCAACCGGTTTACCAATCCACATCTCCATTGGTGTCTTCAGCTCTATTGCAGTTGATGGAGCTCGATTCACCAAATAACAGGCGGTATTGACTACTTCTGCCCAGAATGATTTTTCTAGGCCTGCATCCCTCAACATTGCTCTTGTTCTTTCTAACAAGGTTCTGTTCATCCGCTCTGCCACTCCATTTTGTTGAGGAGTGTTCGCCACTGTGAACTGTCTTTTGATGCCTTCTTTCCTGCAAAAGTCATCAAATTCTTCGCTTGTGTATTCTCCTCCATTATCTGTTCTGAAACACTTGATCTTATTTCCAGAATCAAGTTCCACCCGCGCTTTGAAGTTTTTGAAAGTGGAAAACACGTCTGACTTCTTCTTAATAGGGTATACCCAACATCTCCTAGAGTAGTCAATAATAAATGAGACAAAGTATTTTGCTCCGCCTAGGGATGTAACTGGTGCTTGCCATACGTCAGAATGAATCAATTCTAGAACACTTTTGCCTCTAGAATTTGATGTGTTGAATTTCAACCGGTGCTGCTTACTTGTTATGCAATGCTCACACAAAGTAAGTGATACCTTTGTTAAGCCTGGAAGTAGCTTTTTCTCCGCAAGGACTTTCATTCCTTGTTCTGACATGTGTCCAAGTTTCTTATGCCATAGCATTGCAGAATCTGAACTACATGAGGCAACAGAGGCTTCTGCTTCTAGCAAAGTCTCTCCCTTCAGCATGTACAAGTTTGCAGCTATCTTTTCGCCTTTCAACACCACAAGCGCTCCACGGAACACCTTCATGATTTCTTTCCGTGTTTCAATCTTGCTTGCATTATTATCCAACAATCCGTAGGATAATAAATTTTTCTTCAGACCTTTCACGTGCCGCACATCTCGAACAACTTTAATTGTTCCATCATACATCTTCAATTTGATGGTTCCCACGCCAATGATTTCTAAGGCATGATCATTGCAACTATACACAGATCCTCCTGAGACAGGTTCATAATGATGGAACCATTCTCTTCTTGAGGTCATGTGATATGTTGCTCCCGAATCAATGAGCCATATATCTGCAAATCGTTTTCTTCCTTCCACGGTGGTTGACGCTTCACAGCATAGAGCATCTCCATCATCTGAAGTGTTTGCGGTATTGCCTTGTGGATTGGAGTTTTTATTTAGACTCCAAGATCCTTCTTCAAGTGACCCTTCTTTCCACAGTGGTAGCACTTTAAATTCTTCTTACTCCTCGACTTTGATCTACCATGTTTGTGACTGTTGCTTTGGCCACGTTCTGTTGATCTCCCTCTCGTCGTTGTCAACGCTTCTGCTTGTTGCAGATTTACTTGTCTGTCTTCCTTGTTCTTGCGCCGATTTTCTTCTTGTAGAACAGCAGCTGCAACGTCATCGAAGACTAGAATGGTGACATTATTGTTTGTCAAGTTGATGATGAGTTGATCGTACGAATCCGGTAGACTTTGAAGTAGAAGTTCAGCACGTTCTTGTTCTCCTATTTTACAGCTTAAGGATGTAAGCTGAGAAAATAAGGTGTTCAGTGTATTTAAGTGCTCCGTCACTGAAGTAGATTCTGGCATACGGAGAGTGTACAATTTCCTCTTAAGGAAAATTTTATTGTGCAACGATGTGGCCTCGTACAGTTTTGTGAGATGATCCCATATCTCCTTAGCTGTCTTCTTCTCCTCGATGCTTGACAATACTTCATCTGCTAATGCTAGATGAAAGTTTGCCATAGCATTCCCGTCCATCTCGTTCCATTTGATGTCATCTGTGAAATCTTACCGGCCTTTCATTGATAGTCGCTAGACACCCGTCTTTCCTCAAGATGGCCTTCATCTTTAATTTCCACAATGAGAAATTTCTCCCATTGAACTTTTCAATATCAAATTTCGTTGCCATAGCTTCTTTTACGGATAGCTCCCACTATTTCACTATAGTGAATAGTTCTCTGGAACCTTCAAAGAATGGGTAATAACTTCTTACTTTCTTATGTTGGAGGATCCACCTTTTGGTGGCAACCACAAAGACAATAAGCAGATATTACACACTCCAATCTGGCTCGGATACCAATTGTTGCGGAAGACGACTATCGGATAGAGCAAAATCGCAACTGATAATTTGAGAAAATAAAAATGAAGATAAAAGAGACACAAAATTTACGTGGAAAACCCCTAAAATATTTAGGGTAAAAACCACGGGCAACGGTAGAAGAATTTCACTATGAGAAAATAGGAATTACAACCTCTCTCGATCTACCAAGGAGAAAACAATGATAATTCTCTCTAGATAAAAAGGAGAAAACAACTCTCAAGAAACTCTCTAAAATCTCTAGAGTATTGGAAGAAAGCTAGAATGCTTTGGGATGATTTTGAAGCTAAATGAGCTAGGGTGTTTATAGTTAAAACATAAGGACTAATTTATAAATATCCTAAAGTTTAATGACTAAATTGAATTATCCCATTTAATATTTAAACAAAAATTTCCATCCCTTTTTGACTAAAATATGCCGGTGGATTATTTTAATTCACCTTTCGGTGGATTTGCTTATTTTTCAACAGAATCTTCATGAACTGCCTAGCATCATCACGGTTCTGGGAAACAGAGTTGATAGCAGCCATCACCAATCATATATTCAACTACAGATGATAGATTTTGAGTTTGTATGTGTGGGTTAATATATGAAACATTCCAGAACAAAATTGAACTTCAACACTTCGTGTTTCGATAAATGCTTTTATGTGTGTGTGAGGAACTGATATTTGTAAGTAATGCTTCTCGGGAGAGAGAGAGAGAGATGGGACTGATATTTGTAAGTAATGCTTCTCGGGAGGGACTGATTTGTAAGTAATGCTTCTGGAACTGATATTTGTAAGTAATGCTTCTCGGGAGGGAGAGAGATGGAACTGATATTTGTAAGTAATGCACCTCGGATTCTATTTTGAGAGGGTGTCTTTTGATATCCTTAACCGATACTACTTAACTGTACCGAAAGGAAAAGGAGGGAAAAGAGGGGGGCAGATTTTCCCAAGGGCAACTAAAAGTTTCCAGGTGCCATATGGCCAAGAATAGATAAAAACATAGAAAAACTACTATAGATGAATATAAATATGCACATATAATATATAAAAAATAAGCATAGCAATGGACAAACATATAAATAAAAAAAGGGAACTAACCTGAAAAAGCAAAAATGTGAGAGCAACAAGATAAACAACAGCCATTCCATGAACTAAACGCCAAATTCCAGGATGCGGTCGAATAAGGAGCCTACAAAAAAGTTTAAAATCCCGATCGTTAAGCTTCTACAGCAATAAAACAAGCAGTTCCCTAACCATACTAAAATGAAATTCTGGCAAATAATTCACACACACAAAATGAAAAATGAACACAGATTGAACTTTATAATTATCCATAAACAAAATTCATAGATGTATTTTCTCCACCAGGCATAATCATAAAATGTTTATTCATATAAAGTGATAAAGCCTAACTGATTTCGACAAGCATTTCGACTCTTTAAAAGACATTTCTTCAAAGACCAAGGTGAATAGCTGGAGAAAATAATCTACTCATACCACTAGATAACAAGAATGGGCAAGCAGAAGAAATCAAACTAATAACTTACGTAGAAGGAGCCTGCAGCAAGCAATAAGCTAGAAAAACTGCAATCATTGCCCATACACCCCTAAAGAAACAGTCACACAAGCAAAAACTTAAAATGAGTTGGAAAGGAAAAAGAAAAGACAGTAAAATGGAATGAGAAATAAATTGGAACCTTTTTACAGATGTTGCAAGATCGCCAGACTCACTGCTCTCAGGATCAAGGGCTCCACTTGCCCAACTGGTAGACATATGCAGACAATAAATAAATTAATAAATGGTGATATAAGAATTGAGAGAAAGATGAACTAAAGAAAAACAGAATGAGATTCACTCTTCTAAATAAAACAAAGAAAATGTTCCTTAGATTGTTTATGGTTTGCAGCTAGGTATAACAGGAAAAGGAAATAAACAGTAGGATGGCACTAGTTCCACCGAGTAAAAACATGTAGACTTTGCTTGGTTAAGTGGAAAGAAAATTGAAAGGATGGAAAACTAGAGAATAAAGATAAAAAGATGGAAAATATATTTTTTTCTTTCCATGGCGGGTAAGAAGAATGGAAAAATTGAAAGAAAAGTATTTTTTTTTCTTCCCATTCATTGCTTGGTAGAGTTGAAAAATGAGAGAAAAGAAAATAAGGCTTTTGAAAAATATATAATTTTGATCTAACTTACATCTCTCTCACATTTTCTCTCACATTTTCTCTCATTTCATTCAATTTGGAATGATTTGTTTTACACGAGGATGAAAATGATCATCCTCTTATTTTGTTGCCTCTGGCTTCTCTTCCCTACCAAGAAAAGTAGAATGATAAATGATAAATGAAATAATAGATAATAGATAATATAAAGAATGTTTTCCTAAAGTAAAGTCGGTCACTTTTACAAAGAAAAATGGGGGGAAAATAGAAGCCACGGAAAACAAAGAAATAACCTTTAGTTAACAAATCTTTCACGAGTCATGCGTACATGCAACAGAAACAAGCTCCACAACAAGGACCCACAGAAAACCATAAGATTGGTGAAAACCAAGAGACTGACATTGTAACAAAAACATGAGTACAAATACAAAGAAGAGGAAACAACATAAAATATGTATTCTAACCTAACAAGGGGAAGAACAGCACAATTTAGCGAAGAGGAAGTAAATATTAAGCAGAGTACTCACACAAGAAAACATGCACCAACAAATAATAATGAAATAGTACGAGGCTTATATGCCCACGCAGTCCATGGATCTAGTTCATTTATGGAATGTGTATCCCCATTTGCTTGGACAAGATGATCCTTTCTCCTCGCTTTCGTATGACCATTAGGTTCCATACGCACTCAGTGTTTCAGATATACACACTGCAAAACAACAATAGAAGTACTTGAGAATTTCAAAACATAATAATCTTACAAATAAGAGGAAGATAAAATAAATGAAGTTACACTTGCAAAAACAGCAGAACTAGAGAAAATACTAAAGAAAGAGTGTGGCAACAGCATGTATGGATACAAAATACAATAAATTCATTAACTGAAGTTAACCAACTTTATGGGGAAAGAGTAGGATAAACTTAAAAAAAAAAAAGAAAAGAAAAGAAAGAGATGAAAAACTCTTATCATCAGATATATCACCAAATGAGATACTTATCTATCTTTTAAACTGTTAAAAGGAACAAGACTTTGGGAAAGATTTCAGATAAGTTAGATACCAAGATATAATTCAACATTCAGCAAATTACCAAAGATATACATCTCTCGCTCTCTCTAAAAACATGTAGGGGTGTTTCACAAAAGTAGATTTTAAGCTATTTCTTAATGAGAAGGTTTCTTAAGGACAGTGAACTCATGCAGTTTTAAGGGGAGAATGTACAGCTACAATGTAAGTCACATGTCAACCAAAAGATTTACATCCTTTCATGCATACATCTTTCTTCATATTGATGAAAAATTTATAGAACCAAACTCACGCCATTAGCAATTTGTGGGGTATTTTTTCTTTGTCATCTTAACTTCAGGGGAAGTTTTGGTAACTACAAAGCTATAAGCATTGTAGTGGAGACATTGAATTTCCAAAATGACTTAAGACCGGCCATATGTTTGGACAGGAATGTGCGGAAGACAAGACCAATTAAGTAAAACAAATTGTACACTAGTGTAGCTAAAGATGCAAAACACGGCCTTGTTAAGGATGAAAGCAAACCAGTAAAGAATCCCTAAAGCTATGGTCCCTACAGCTTGGCCAAGGCTTAACTCATATGCAACACCAGTTCATATGATGTGACAGCCCACTTTCCTCCAGAGGAAACTGATATTCTACAGTGTAATCTATGTACCACATAACAGATATCAATATAGTTACTTTAATAGACTTATTGTATTCATAGCTAATAGAGATTCTAACCATCAAAAAGCAAAAATTTTAACTTGCAGGAGAAGATAAAAGATCCAAACTTTAAGGTGCCTCTCCAAAACTTGTTTTGAGAAGAGAATTTACCAAGTACTATTAACATAGTTACAGTATTTATTTAAAAACAACAATAAATACTCTTAACATGGAACTAAATTAGAAACATTTCTGGATCAAGTCGTAACCCATAAGAGCAATCTCAAGCTTGGCAAAATCTCTTTAAAACAAAATAATTGTTACTAACCAGGCATCTATGACTTGGAAAACTTAAAGTGCAAACAAAAAATGAACCCCAGAACAAAGCAAACAGATTCACCAAGACAAATTCTTTCAACTTTAAAAAGCAAAAGCAAAGCACATTATAATAACTCTAAGAAAGCATTGATATTATTGAAATGGCATAATGCAAATAAATACCCCTAACGTTTGGCATAATATGCATTTGTGCCCAAATCGTTTTTTTGGATCAGTTCTACCCACAACGTTTGATTATGAGGCATAAGTCCCCCATTGGATGGAATCCGTCAGTCAACTGACGGTCAACGGGTTCATCTGACGTGGCATGCACATGTGGTCATCGATGATGACGTAGCATTTCCATGTCATTATTTTTGCTGACGTGGCATGTTCATATCATAGATGATGATGACATGATAGATCCACGTAGACTAATTGCTGACGTGACATGTACACGTATGATGCCACGTCATCAATTTTTTTAAAATTAATTAATAATAAATAATTATTTTTTATTAAATTAATATCAATCAATAAGATGTTGGCACGTAGAACATGAATTTTTTTATTAAATTAAGAAAAAATGAATTAAATCACCACAAATTTTGCAATCCATAGGATTTGAACATGGGTCTGAAAGATGAAAGCCTTGATACCTAATCATAAGGCCAAATCACTTGGTTGTTATTGAATGGCTAATAACAATATTTAAAGTATATTGTTGCCATCAAAACCATCATTAATACAAGCACTTTTTAAAAAAAAAATTATAGTTAGATTTAAATTGTTATAATTATTTGAGTAAATTTAAATTATTCATGGGTCTTTTAAAATTTAAATTTATAAATCGATCTGGGTCTTAATTAATTTTAAATTTATAAACTTTAAAACAATCATAGGAAAATTGATCTGGGAATAAACCATATGTGTTTTTTAAAGTTTATAAATTTAAAATTAATTAAAATTTTATCTTCAATGGTGTATTCGATGTGGCAGCTTCAATGGAATTCGACGCCAATTCGAAGGAGAATATTGGTAAATTCTGCATTTTTTTTATCTTCAAAGCATTTTCATTCACGTTTCGACAGTTCGTCAATCTAACAGAGCATTTGATTTTTCCAAGAATCCTATATTAGATCAAATATCATTTACCCTGCAATCAAAGGCACTGAAAACCTCCTCAAATCTTGCTTGAAATCCAACACTCTGAAAAGGGTTGTTTTCACATCTTCCATAAGTACTATCACTGCTAAAGACAGAAATGGAGATTGGAGATCTGTTGTTGATGAATCAAAGTAAAATTAAAAACTAAAATTTAAAATTATAATTAATTTTAAATTTATAAACTTTAAAAAAGACCTATGATTTATTCCCAGATCGATTTACCTATGATTTTTTTAAAAGTTTATAAATTTAAAATTAATTAAGACCCCATATCAATTTATAAATTAAATTTAAAAAGACGTACGGATAATTTAAATTTACTCAAATAATTATAACAATTTAAATCTAACTATAATTTTTTTTAAAAAAGTGCTTGTGTTAATGGTGGTTTTGATGGCAACAATATACTTTAAATGTTGTTATTAGCCATTTAATAACAACTAAGTGACTTGGCTTGATGGTTAAGTATCAAAGTTTTTATCTTTTAGATCCAGGTTCAAATCCCATGGATTGTCAAATTTATGGAGGTTTTAATCCCTCTTTTCTTAATTTAATAAAAAAATCATGTTCCACGTGGAAACATCTAATTGGTTGATATTAATTTAATAAAAAATAATTATTTATTATTAATTAATTTTAAAAAAAATTGATGTCACGTCAGCATTTAGTCTACGTGGATCTACCACGTCATCATCATCTATGATATGAATATGCCATGTCAGCAAACATAATGACATGGAAATACCAAGTCATCATCGATGACCACATGTGCATGCCACGTTAGATGGACCCGTTGACCATTAATTGACTGACGGATTCCATCAAACGGGGGGACTTATGCCTCATAATCAAACGTTATGGGTAGAACTGCTCCAAAAAAAACGATTTGGGCACAAATGCATATAGTGCCAAACGTTAGGGGTATTTGTTTACATTATGCCTAGGCCTGTAAACGAACCGAACGCACACGAACGGAGGTATGTTCATGTTCGTTCATTTAATAAATAAACGAACACAAACATAAACGAACAATTTTTTTTTTGTTCATGTTCGTTTATTAAGGAATAATTTAATAAATAAACGAACATAAACGAACACGAACATAAATGAACACGAACATAAATGAACACAAACAAAACGAACATAAACGTTGGAGACCCTACCTTCCATTGTTCTTTCATGAAAAGTAGTCGACAATGCAAATCAACCAAATCTACAGTGATAAATAACGTAAGAGCTTATTAACAGTGATGAAATGTTTGAAGATATCAAATATTTAGATCGATCTTTTAAAGATATTAAATTATTCACACGACTTTAATTTAACGCTATAACATTTATCTTAGTGGTACATGATTACATATGAACAATCATTTTTCACTACGTTATTCTAATAAATTCGCCGGCTAAAAGTTTTGTGACATCAATGTCAGACTTTAGTGAGGCTTGTTAATAATGGTCCTTTCTGTTGGCAGAGTAGAAATTTTAACAGCATGAAGATTTCGAATGGTACAAATTGGACTACAAGGCAATAACATAGATCTGAAATCCCTTCGATGCTACATATCGTAACTGATATTATTGCTAAACCACCATTCAAAATTTTAACGTACCTAAAGTCTACTCCACAACTAAAGGTCAAGAACTATGAAAACAAAAGTTCATTGTCAAAGTGTATTTTCTACTTATTAATGGGTTCTTCCTGGAAAACCCATTACTTCCGCTATTACACTCTTTTTCAGAAATTGCATAGAAACCTTTGTTTTGTTTTCTGGAAAATTCTATATATTTTTCTCTTTACTGATGCTAATATACTTTTGATTGTTACCTTTATCTTCCCATTTATTTCTAGAAAGAAGTATAATGTTTTCTTGAATTTTAGATATGAAGATACACGCAATAACTTTACTTATCAACTATTAAGCCAAATAAAACAGAGAAAGAGATGAAAACAGACCTGTCAAACTTCAGATTGCACTATAATATAACTTGTTTTGAAGCTTTCAGCGATCGTCTCCACTCTCTAGTAAACACTAGGGTTTGGGAAAAAAAGGGGGAATGAATATAGGTGCGAGGTGCCTCACGGGTTAACATATTGGTTTTAATCTCTAAATAAAATTGGGTTAATTATGGACTTGATCATCAGAATATCATATTAATTAATATTTTAAGATACTTACAAATTGGTCACCAAAATTGATTTAAGAAGATTGGGTTAAACATAAATGAATGAACATAAACGAACATAACCGAACGAACATAAACGAACATAACCGAACGTTCACGAACGTAAATGAACGAACGAGACCTATGTTCATGTTCGTTCATTTAATTAAACGAACACAAAATCTTGTTCATGTTCGTTCATTTAATAAATAAACGCACATAAACGAACTTCCCGTCGCACGGTTCATGAACGGTTCGCTGAACGTTCAGTTCATTTACAGGCCTAATTATGCCTATTGAAATCTAACCAGACTATAAACATGAAAAGAACAAATGTAGTAGCACCCAAAAGGATCCTTACGTACTATACCAGCAAAAGAAATGGAAGAACAAAAGCAAATTCCATTCTGATAATAGAAAAGAATAATAATTAATCACTTTCCAAGTACAGAATCAACCAATAAAGCCGAAAGAAATAGAAAACAAAAATGCATTCGAACAAAGGTAAACCTTCATTCACATGCAAATCATAATTAAACTTATAAATAAACCCATTGATCATACAAAAGTTCTCAACCTTTTCTTTCTTTTCTTTTTTAAAAAGAAAGAATAATAACAAAATTAACTAGAGTTACTGTACCAATAAATAGCATTTTCAAACTCATGCTTTAACTTTAAACAAAAAGAAAAACGGTATAGTACTAGAATAAAAAAGTACCGAATCCTCTCTAATCAAGAAAATGAACAGTCGATAACTCAAATTAACCCGTGACTGGATAAACGAATCTGAGAAAGCTTATTGCATGTCATCAGAACAGCATTAGAAAAAAAAAACAAAACTTTATCTTAAAAAGGAAAAGAAAAACCAATTAAGAGCATTCGATGGAAACAATTGTTCACAGAAAATTAATAAAAGGGATGTATGATTTTCACCCAAAACTGGAACAATTCAAAGAAAATGAAAAACTAGTGCCGTTGATTGAGATTAAGGGCATCTCCAACGCTGCGCTACAGTAGTGATATTTCCACTGTAGCACACTCCAACCCTGCACCACATCTTACGCTACAGTGAAGATTTGCTATAGTACCACGCCATATCTAGCGCGGTAATGTAGCTTGCGCTACATTTTACTTTTTTTTTTAAATTAAACTATATTAAATTATAAAATAAATAAAATTCATTGAAATTAGATAAATAATAATATTAATTTTTTTTTGTAATTTTTCGGATTGTTTTGTATTTTTTTGATTTTTTTTATATTTGTAAAATTAATATTATAATAGTTAAATATTATTTGTAGAAATAACGCTGGAGATGAATTATTGTTTCATCTCTAGAGTAGAAATAGATATACTCTAGAGTAGAGATGAGGACTGGAGATGACCTAAAAGAAAATGAATTCGCAGCAGCTTCGGGTGGAGAGAGAGAGAGAGACGTGAGAAGAACGGAAGAGAAGAAGCTGAGAAAAGAGAAGGGTCTAACCGTACGATGGAAGTGAGCAGAAGATCGGCAGCGGTCCGATCCCTCGAATTTTCCCGTGTCTCAAGGCCAAGAGGGAAGATGTTTGAAGGGAGTGAGAATAATGAAGGAATCAAAATATATATAGAGAGAGAAAGAATAAAATGAATTGAATTGAATTATTAAAAAAAGAAATAAAACAGTATGTGTCTGTTAATCATTAAATTCTGAAAACACTCTCAAACGAACACAATATTATGTACTTCCCATATTTACATTTTACCTGAGAAATTGAGAATAATAATTATTTTTAATTACAAAACAAATTTGTATTAGATATGAGAGAGAGGTGGATGCTACTTTTTGTTTTCTGGTCAAAGTAAGATTTGAAGATGTTTTTTTTTTCTTTTATCAGAGGGTTTTTGTTAAGATTACGGAAACCGTGAGATGAGATGAGGATGTGCATGTGATGTGAGAGAAGGAAACTCATTGCGTAATTAATTAATTGGTGAAACTACTTGTCGAGTCCCTTTATTATTAGGTTATTTTAATTAATCCTTCAGTTGTTAAATGGGTAAAATAGAAAAGGGTAAATTACGTCTTTAGTATATAAACTATAAGTTTTGATTTATTTTAGTACCTATATTTAATCACTCTAACTTTTAAATTTATTTTTTATTTTTAATTATATATTAATAAAATAATAATAAAAATGTCATGTCACAAATATTTTTAAAAATATATTAGAATGATTAAAAGGAGCAATTTGAAAATTGAGTAGTTAAATATTTTTAAACTTTAGTACCAAAATAAAAGTGAGAAGATAGTTGAGAGATAAATGATTTCATTTACCCATAAAAAATATAGTGCCATTAAATTTTTAAGTGCTAAAATGAAACAAAAACTAAGTGTTAGGCATAGTTTTTGAAAAAATTAAAAGTTTAAGTATTAAAACGGACCAAAACCAATAGTTTAGATACGAAACGCGTAATTATCCATGAAATAAATAAGGCCAATTTTAATAGAGGTAATATTTTTGAAATTTTTAATATAACTATTTCTATTTAATTCATTAATAAATTAATTTATGTAATATATTTTAAAAATTATTGTAAAAAATTGTTTTAATTTAATTTTAATCAATAATTTTAACCAAAAAAATTAAATCAATAATTTTAGAATTTATATATTATTTAAGAAATTTAATATTTTATATCATTAGATTCACTAATAATTAATTCATATAAAATCTTTGTTAATGTTTGAAATACATATTCCCTAAACTACCCTTTCAAATCACACTACCCTTTCAAATTGTGATAGTGGGTGGATGATATGGAATCTAATTAAGGTATGGAATTTTAAGTACTTTTGAGCTTTTTTCTTGTTTTTCTTTACTCATAATTTTTTCTATCACTGTCGTTAAAATATCTTCTTTTATTCTACATTAATGTCTAGTATCTTAATAAATTCAATTTTAATTTAACTGATATTATTATTATATGTAGGAGAGTAAATAATAAGATACAACGATCTTCATACATGTAAGGAAGAGATCAATCAAAACTATCATAACTTGGATTATGACATTATTGGTCATCATGCTCATGATCAAACTCAAAGGTAGTTGTTTCAGGGTTGATTTTGTTAAGGTGGTTATGAGTTACTTAAAAGTTTATTATATTTGTTAGCCAATCAGTTAGATTCTTAATTGCATTATGTGTGTATATAAAAAATATGCATATGTAACAGTTTGATGATATATGATTAAACACTATTTCAGTACGTATTGTCTCCACACAAACTTAAAATGGTATCAGTAGCTTAATCACTCAATCTAATTTTTTTCTTTAATCCATTGTTGGGTTGTGCTAGCCCATTTGGTTTTACCAGGGTTGCATGTTTTTCCATACGGGTTTGGTTGTTTGGGGAATCATACGATTCCTAGGTTTGTTTTTTCCCTCCTTTGTTTCTCTTGGTAAATCATTTTTTTTTTTTTTTTTGCATATTATCATGGAAGCTTTGGATTTCACTCATCCACTATATCTCCATCTATCGGATACTCAAAGGACGGTGCTTGTCTCTCACCAGTTCGTCGAATTGGAGAACTATAGTGTTTGTAGTCGGCTAATGAAAATTGTATAATTGTCAAAAAGCAAACTGGGGATGATTGATGGAACTGGTTCACGGGATATATTCTCTATCCTCGCATAAAAATGAAACACTCATTCATTTAAAGCAATTTCTTAGTCTTATCAAAACGTAATTCTCTGCTACTATGCAAATAATTCAAAGTGATAATGATGGTGAATTTTTTTAGTACTACATGTTCTTTTTTCCTCACTTGGTATCATTCAGCAAAGCTCGTTTGTTTACACTCCTAAAAAAAGGGTGTGGCTGAACGTAAGCATAGGCACATTCCTAAAGTAGCTCGTGTTCTATGTTTTCACTCAAATATTCCAAATAAATTATGGGGTGAATGTGTCACTATTGAATTTTATATCATAATAGGCTGCCAAATTGTTGTTCTTAGATGAAAAATTACGTTTGAACTTTGTATGATAAACTATTTAATTTGTCTCACTTACATGTGTTTGGTTGTTTGTATTATGCTACTATACCTAACAATAAGGATAAATTAGCCTCTAGAGTTATATATGCTATTTTTCATATATTCTAGTACTAAGAAGGGGTATTTGTTGTTTAATCTTAAAACTCGTTCTCTGTTTGTCAATCGTGATATGATTTTTTATGAGCACATTTTTTCATTTCGTTTTCTCCTTTAAACTTCTTCTCATTTTTTCCTTTACAATATTTTTTCTTTTGATTCTACTCATAAGTTATTTCATTTAATTTCTATTTCATTTCATTCTTCTTTTAGATAAGATTTGTTTCCTAATCTTTCTCTTGATAATTTTACTTCTATTTATTTTAAGTTAAGCTTTAATTCAGCTTCTATATCATTTTTTTCTCATTTTTCTAATGCTTCAATAGGTTTATTAGCTCGTGCATGTGATGATTCTAACATGGGGCATTCTTTGGGTGCTATTCTCGTCATTTGTTACAGTTGGAAGAGATGAGCGTGAAGAGAACGAAGGAATTGGGGAAAAAAGAAGTCTATGGTTAGGGATTGAAGATGGAGAATTGGGAATCGAGGCAAGAGAAGGAATGGAAAGAGGGGAATTAGGGATTGAAACTAAAGAAGAGGGAATGATGTATTTACCCTCTGAAGTGGAGCGTTCTGTGTACCCGGTTCAGAAGACATTGGATCCGGCTAAGTTTCCTACCCAAATCCTCTATCTACTCAAAAGCCAAATCAGCTACCAGTACAGCAGCAAAATTCAGCCAATATATAACCAAAGCATAATTTAATTTATTACAAAAGACAAAACAATTTATGCTTTAAATGTGGAGATAAATTTGCTCCTGGTCATCAATGCAAAATTAGGCAATTAAACATGATGATGGAGGAAGACACTGTTTTAACCTTAGAAAATTCACCAGCGGATTCAGAGCAGACAATTATACAGGAAGAGGAGAGCCTAGAAATATCTATGAATGTCATTACTGGATGTATTGGTCATAATACATTGAGGATACAAGGAACAATTCATGGGAGACCATTAAGTATGTTGATTGACAGTGGTAGTACCCACAATTTTTTAACACCTCAGTGGGCTGATACTAGTAAACAGGTTAATACCCTATCATTTGGCTATTACAGTAGCTAATGGACAGCAGCTTTACAGTTTAGCAAGGTGTAATAAGGTGGAACGGAAGATGCAAAGGCACTCTTTTATACATGTTTTAGATTACTTCAGTTGGGGGAAGTGATATGGTATTAGCTGTGGACTGGATGAAACTGTTTAGTCTAATTTTGATGGATTTTAATAACATGACACTGAGTTTTGTGCATAAAGGGGAGCAGATAATTATACAAGGTCAATAACAATCTAATTTTCTGCAGTAGATTTCAAGAGCTACCCTATTGAAGATGACAGCTTCTGATTCATCTATTTTGGGACATGTAGTACTATTTACTATGTCTGAAGGTTCCAAGACTATTCGTACAGCTATTCAACCTCTCTTGGACAAATATTATTCTATTTTTACTGAGCCTACAGGTCTGCCACCTACAAGGAATCATGACCATGTTATTCCTCTTAAACCTGAAGCTGCTCCTATTAATTTAAGACCTTATAGATTTCCACATAATCATAAAGCTGAAGTGGAAAGGCAGATTGCTAATATGTTATCCTCCTCTATTATTCAACCAAGTAAAAGTTCATTTGCTTCTCCCTGTCTTTTAATAAAAAAGAAGGATGGTACTTAGAGGTTTTGTGTAGACTACAGGAAGCTAAACAGCATGACAGTGAAAGATAAATTTCCTATTCCTGTGGTGTAGGACTTATTGGATGAGTTATATGGAGCAGTGTATTTTTCCAAAATTGATTTGAGGTCTGGTTATTGGCAAATCAGAATTAAACCTGAGGATATCTACAAGACAACATTCAGAACTCATCAAGGCCACTATGAATTTAAGGTAATGCCCTTTGGGGTTACTAATGCCCTTGCTACATTCCAAGCTCTAATGAATGAATTATTTAGTTCATTTCTTAGAAAATTTGTCTTGGTATTTTTTGATGATATCCTAGTCTACAGTACCTCTATGGCAGATCATGTTGTTCATCTTCAATTAGTTTAGGAAATTTTGAAAACTAATCAATTATTTGCCAAGATGTCCAAATGTTTCTTTAGATAGACTCAAGTGGAATATTAGGGCCATATTATCTCAGCTTCTGGAGTATCTACTGACCCTTCTAAAGTTGCAACTATGAAGGATTGGTTTGTTCCAAAATCTCTAAAATCTTTGCGAGGATCTTTGGGATTAACAGGTTATTACAGACGGTTTATAAAGGGTTATGGTACAATTAGTAAACCCTTGACACAGATGCTCAAGAATGAAAGTTTTAAGTGGACTAAGGAGGCTTTATTGGCTTTTGAAAATCTAAAGCATGCTATGTGTGAGGCCCCTGTTTTAGCATTACCAGATTTTGGTAAATATTTTTATTTGGAAATAGATGCAAGTTCAGGGGGAGTTGGGGATGTATTATCTTAAGATGGAAGACCTTTTGCC